GCCACAACGCCTAGCTATTTTTTGGTTGCAGCCGTCATTATTGTTTGGCGGGCTGGGGCTGGATTTGAACCCACCACCTTAGGTGTATGTGGCTGGCGCCTTAACTACAGGCACCTAGCCTATAATGTATAGTTTGACACTGGTTTTAGGGTCTGAAAGGCGTATCCTGAATGTTAATCCAAAAAACCCCATTAGTTTCAGTTAAGTATAACCCGCTTAAATATGCAAATGTTTCATGTGCACTGAAATTTAAAACGCTTCTTGGCAATGTAATGCTCCCTATTTACATATTGTTCTCCTCTGCCTCACACCCTCTTTCCCTGGCCTCCCTCTACAGACACATATTCTTTTGCAATTTCTTCAAGATGGCTCTTTAGCCAGGTTTTCCTTTTCTCCCCTCGTCTTTAGATGATTGGGACCCTCCTGGAATACAAATTAGTGAATGTGATTATATTCTTTTTTTGAGACAGTCTCAAGCTGTCACCCTGGGTAAGAGTGCGGTGGTGTCACAGCTCACAGCAACCTCTTAACTCTTGGGCTTAAGTGATTCTCCTGCCTCCACCTCCCAAGTAGCTGGGAGTACAGGTGCCTGCAACAACGCCTGGCTATTTTTTGGTTGTAGTTATCATTGTTGTTTGGCAGGCCTGGGGTTGGATTTGAACCTGCCAGCGGCTGGCACCTTAGCTGCTTGAGCTACAGGTGCTGAGCAGTGAATGTGGAACAAGGGGAGCTCTTTTTTTTTTTTTTTTTGGCCTGGGCTGGGTTTGAACCTGGCACCTCCAGCATATGGGGCTGGCGCCCTACCCTTTTGAGCCACAGGTGCCACCCGAACAAGGGAGCTCTTTGTGATGAAGGGATATAGTCATTCCTTAGTTCTAGGATAACCCTCAGATATCTAAATCCATGGATTCCCAAGTCACTTATGTAAAATGGCTTAGTCTTTGCACATAGCCTGCATGCATCCTTTCATTTGTATTAATTCCTGCATTACTTATAATACAATGGAAATGCTGTGTAAATAGTTTTGTGCTAGATTATTTTCATTTTTTTTTTTTTTTTGGCTGGGGCTGGTTTTGAACCCACCACCTCGAGCATATGGGACCAGTGCCCTACCCTTTTGAGCCACAGGCACCACCCTATTTTCATTCTTTTTAATTGCTCTCTGTCTCTCTTTCTCTCTATATCTATACACACTTTTTTTCAGTCTGAGGTTGGTTGTATCTATGAATGTAGAACCCAGGAGTATGGAGGTCAGACTGTTTTGTGTGTGTGTGTTTTTTTTTTTTTAGACGGAGTCTCACTATGTCACTGTTGGTAGAGTGCTGTGGCGTCACAGCTCACGGCAACCTCAAAACTCTTGGGCTAAAGTGATTCTCTTGCCTCAGCCTCCCAGGTAGCTGAGACTACAGGTGCTTGCTACAACGCCTGGCTATTTTTTGGTTGTAGTTGTTTAGCTTGCCCACATACACTCTCAGTGTATGTGGCTGGCGCTGTAACCACTGTGCTATGGGCACTGAGCCAGTATGACTGTTAGCTGTTTCTTCATTGCAGTGGTGGTTACATGCGTTAGCACATGTGATGAAATCACATAGACATGTGTACATATAATATATGTGTTGCGTGCCCACACACACATACATATTATGCCAGTGTCAATTTACTGGTTTTTATATTGTGCTATAATATCAAAACGTACAATATGACCTTTAAGGTAAAGGGGTACACAGAGCTTTTCTGAAGTTTCTCTCTCTCTTTTTTTTTTTTT